TGTGTGGTGTGTGTGTGTGTGTGTGTGTGTGTGTGTGTGTGTGTGTGTGTGTGTGTGTGTGTGTGTGTGTGTGTGTGTGTGTGTGTGTGTGTGTGTGTGTGTGTGTGTGTGTGTGTGTGTGTGTGTCTGTGCGCATGCTCTTGGGTGCCTGCGTGGGCGTGCGCGCAGACGTGCATGTTCGTGCGCGTCTGTGCGCGGCAATGAAGGCATGCATGTGTGAATGCGTGTATCAGCCTTCACTTTCTTTGCAGGCATGCTGACAGTAGGAAGGCCGACCGATCAAAGTGGCAAGAAGCGCACGTCAGAGGTATAGTTTGCCATTGCTCTGACCAAAACTCCGCCCACCTCAGACCCTAAACCCTAACCTGGACCAACCCCTTCAATCCCAAGCTGGCTTCGCAAAAAACGATGACAGGGGAGGCGGGTGGGAAGGTGGCCCCCACCGCAAGGAGGCAAGGGGTGTCCCGGTTCAATACACGCAAGCAAGACACAAACATGCCACTAGTAATTGGCAAGGGGGTTCCAGGGCCCAGCCCCTCACCCAATTCCATTTTTGAGGGGTGGGCAAAAGGGTGGACCCGTGATCACTGGATGGATGCGTCCCGATTGCGAGGGCCCAGCTTTGGATCTGGGTCTGCAACAGCTAGTATGGGCTTGCGGACCCATGTCAGCCACTGACAATCGAATCTGCTTCCTCAAACTGACACGGGAAAACTGGGAGAGTGGGAAGTTGGGTTTTCTACTGCTCAATGACACTAGCATGTCTGAAATCACGGTGCTACCCCAATTTGTGTGAAGAATTTGGGTGGCCCACCCCGCCACCCCAACCCTGTGTCCCAAAGCAGGCCTAGAGCGTCAATGAGTCAATCATGTTGCCAACGACTCGCTTGCGGTGCGCCAAGCAGCTGGTCATGCTCTAGGAGGCCCCTGAAGTCCTTCGCCTCTATCTGTGAGAGAACGTTGTCGACTTCCCAAGCCTCCTGGCCACGGAAAAGAACGCCGACGTCTGATTGAGAAACCAACCCACTGAATTATTTTTCAGGGGTTTATCTGGGGATTCTGCAGACTCCTTTCTGCCAGGACATCCCCCTGATTCTGACGGAGATTTTTTTGGGGCATCAGCGGTCAACAGTGAGCCTGTGATGCCAAATGGGCCATCCCTATGACTATTTCATCACTTGAAAGGCGGCCCTTGGCATCACAAACAAACATGAGTTTTCCACAGCCATGCTCCTGACGAAAACATGATCCGACAAAACCCCACGGAGCCGGAACACCCCCCCCCAACCCATCATTCCAAGACTCATGATGCAAACCCATAGTCATTTTTGGGCCGCTTGGTGGGCAGTATGCTGGAATCACACTAAAACTGATGGCTAATCAACCCATGAGAGTCTGGGCTGTTCAAAACCCCCAGACAGAGGATTCAACTTTGAACGGAACGCTTGCCCGGCAAACCACGGTCCCTACACTTTTTTGGAGGCCCCCATGAAATCGAATCATTCATTTTCAGATTGCACATCTTGCAGCCCCTACGTTTCCCCCGCCGGTTTCCGCATCTCCAGTGGCACCGAAATGCCACAGCTCGGCTGCCCTTTCAACACAGCCTTGAGCCTTGAGGGACAAGGTGGACCGAATCCGATCAGAAACTGGCAGATTAGTAGTTTGTAGTTTAGTTTGTTCTTTCCTTTCTTTCTCGGAAGGGTTGCAGTTCGGATAGATGCCGCTGGTGAATCCAAGCCCCTCCCTGGATGGCACGGTCATGCAGGGCAAACCAAGTAGCCAGGTAGAACACCCCCCAGTCCTCATACATCCCAACGTCATGTGAGAGGTCCAACCCCCCCCCCAAAAAAAAAAACACCAAAAAAAAAACAAACAATCAAACTAACAAACATGGCCAGCCTTGGGATGACAAACAAAGAAAGCAAGAAGGAAACTCACCTTTGGAGAACCCCTGTTGTTGGAAACTCTGAAGTGGTCCAGAATCGCGTGCAACATGCTAGCCACAAAGCATTCGCCGGGAAAACATCACATGCCTGTGCAGAAGGCCGCCTTTCAACATCACCAATGAAGGGCGCAGCCATCCCAAATGGGTTCCCATCTTGTAGCCGCTGGCGCACAAGGGTGCTTTCAACAAATGCTCACATTGTGCTCACATTGTTGCCAGCTTTCCCCCTGGCTCTTCGTATCCCTTTCCCTTTCGACCAACGTAAAGAGCCCCAGCTCCACAAAACCGAGTTGATGTCAGCCATGCAGCTAAAGTTCTTTCGAGGGAACTTGTTCAAGTCTGAGGTGCAGGATTTGCCCCAAGCTGCGGCAAGCTGCGCCCCTTTTGACTTTCCCTCTTTTCCCCCTTCGTTTGAATAATCAACTGACCCCCGAGAGGGGTTTCTTCACAACGAGGCCCTTCCATGATTATTAAGGGAACTGGAAGGCGGAATCTGCAGCTCCTCCTGCTCCACATCCTGTGGCAAGTCCAGGCGGTAGTTCAAGTCCCCGAAGAAAAAGCTGTGATGGCAATAGGATGGAGCATCCTCGGGCGAAAACCCGCGGGCCATGAGCTCCATGAGTCGGCTCAAGTTTGGACTCACAGCATTCAACCCCTCCATACTGTGGATGGACGAAATCCTGCACCACCTAAAGCACCCTGGGGTGATGCTTCCCCTGTAAATACAAACGAACAATGGTTTGCTATGGTTTCCAAGTGGTGCAGAAATTCGTCCACCCACAGTATCAACAGTTTACTCAAGGTCACCCTCAACAAAAGACAAGGGTCAAGGCTGCTGCTCAACGGAACACAGCCAGCCGCTTAGACTACCTTTTTGGGGTCGCATCAAAGGAAAAAGCAAAGGCAAACAAGCACAGCAGCCAACTGCATTTGCAAAAAGCAGCGCATGGCTCCCTGCCGGGCTAGTGAGGTCACGTCCAAAGAAAAAAACAGCAACACATGGAGGGCCCGCAAAGAAGCATCCCGTGGGACTGCGGAATGGTCAAAGCTCCTCATTTTGCTCAACCCCGCTGGTTGTGTTTCTTTGGTGTGCATCGCACCTATCCCATGCCCTGGTGGCCATCCTTTGCGGACACAATGCGTGGGCTATTTGAAAGGAGGGCTTTTTTCATATATTTCCCCCGCCCCGAAAGGACTTTCCTAACAACTGCCCTTAAGGGGAGCAAAGCTGGAGTTCCTTTCTCTTGGGCATCCCTGAGCCCCTCTGGCAGCTATATCAGCTATATCACCTCTATATACCTTTTATATACCTTTTTTGTTGAGCGCCCTGCGCCCCCAAATGGCATCCGGATCACTTTTGGGGGTGCTCAGCCACAAGTCCCTCGACCGACTGAGCCGAGCCGCGAGGTCCATCCCGGAGACCTTGGTGCCCCAAAGGATCTCTGCCACGTCCTGGTTCCGGCGCTGCACCTGGCCGCGAGCGCCCCATTGCACCCAAAAAAAACGGCACGCCAACTGTTTGGGTGCCCTCAAAGAAGGCACGCCCCAGTTGAAGTTCTCCAAGTTAAGGTTAACTCTGCATGGTTGGAGGTGATTAAGGAGTGCCACGTGTTTGCTTGCAGTTTTGTGTTTGTTTGTTTGGTTTGGTTTTGTTTGTTCTTCTTCTCGGGGGGGGGGGGCAGTATTTTGCAGCATGTTTCAGCAACTTGACTGTTTGGGGACCGACTCAGGCTGTTTTTGGGAGGGTTTGGGGTTGGGGGTGTAGGGAGGTCCTAATGCCTGTCCCAACGCAGCAGTTTGAAGCCAGAATGTGGAAGAATCACTCAAGCGGCAAGCTCTACATCCATTCCAAAACCTGAAATATGGGATAATCAAGTAAAGGACCTACATCATGGTGAGCTTGTTTAACCCCGGGTGAGCTCGCCATTCAATAGGAAGACCAATTAATCACCTTGCTCGTCCTCAGTTAACAGATCGCCTTATTTGAGATGGCATCCCTCATGGTTTAGAACCATTGCCTTAAAATAAACAACCACATACATGGCCATGGGTTAAAACCCCGTACCCAAAGTGAACATCCCAACCCCCACTATCATAGACTCAAATGGGTGGTGCACCTATCCCAAAATGGTACCATTGGTTTTGAACCATGGCCATAGATGTTCCACCAGTTCCGGCATATCGCCGGCTCGGCGCAGAAGGAGAGGCCCCGCCGGCCTTTCCGGTCTTTGCCGCCAGGTGCGCCGAGATGAAGCACAAGGAGGCCCCCCCCACCTGGCGTCGAAGTGCAGTCTTCGGCTGGCGCCACTTGTACTGGCCTCATTATTCTACCATGATCAAAGGCACCGAAGTGGTAGGTAAAAGGGAAACAACCCCATTTTCTGACTTTGATAACCCCCAGAAACCAGCAAAAAGAATCACCCCAGTTGTATCCCCAGAGGGTGTTGTTTTTCTGGTTTGGTTCATGTACGGGAGTGGTGCTGAAGCGTTCATCCTTCATACTGCTGACCGGCAAATGATCCCTTCAAAGGGCAGTCGATCTTCCAGGTACCCTCCAAGAGATTCCGCGTCAGCGGGAGGAGAAGTGCAAGTCACTAAGGAGCAAAAATGAAAATGCCTCTTAAAACACCAGATTGACAACACCCATCTTCAGCCTTCCCCCGCTCCATGGCTCACTTGCCCAAAGGAGTTGGAGTTCAACCTTTTGGCACCTCTACTAAAAATGGACCAAAGTGGGAAAACCAAAAGGTGAAAAGGTCGATTCGCTTTGGGCAACTAAGAACGGGGTGTCCAACATCCGCGGTTTCGACGCCTCCAGCTTCGCGAGCAGCCCCCCCTTGTTGGGCCAAACGTGCGCCAGGCCCGTGTTCTCCGCAGCCGTCTCGATGCGGTCGATGGGGGGCCCGAAACGCGACGCGAAGAGCATCAAAGACCTCAAAGTAACAATCAAAACCGATCGGTACAAAAATGGTGAACCCAGAACCATGCTTCAAGAATTAGAAAGGCGGATATCCGCAACTATTTTCGGCTGGGACTGCCCCTTACTAACCTTCATCTACCCGGGTTTTGATTGTGGCTCAGCTGGTCTCTGACCCCCCTGGCTTGGTCACGTTGATCTTTTAGGCCCCTGCAAAAAATGCCTCCCGCATCGCGACTGGTAGAGATACCAATCTGAGATAACAGCTTTTGACTTTGTGCTTTGGCTATGGGGTGAAACATGTGCTGCCCAAAACTTGAAACACACAGATCCAACCCAAATAGCAGCCAAGAGACATGGCGCCCCGGCTGAGAGCACAAATCACATTGTAGTCCTCCAGGGTTGGGGCCTTCTACAGCATGCTTGAAGCCCCCTTCCTCCGAGCACAAGCAAGGCTTGTACTCCCCCATGCCTACTGCTTCCAGTTCCCCCTCGTCTTCATGTTGAACCTAAAGCTAAATTCTGCTTCCTGGAAACACTCAGGGGAGGGGGGTTGGGTGGTCCAGCCCTGGCCCAAATATATGTTACTTGAAGTGCTTGTCCTGCTGCAACCTCTCTTGGCAATCCTTTCAAGCGGACCCCTCAGTTGCTTTCTGCTCCCCTGCTAAAAGTTCAACTTTTAGTGGTTTAATACGGAAAACTCATTTGTTGGATCAAAAGTTAAAGTCCTAACATTCCTTGGCAAAACGCACCAGAGACCCCTTTGGCCTCACTGTGTTACGTCCTCTGCCTGCCAAAAGCCATGCTTTCCCCAAAGCTCCCCTCCCCTCCTTCCCCAGGTGCCCTAGGAACTCCGCCAGCAGCTCCTGAGCGAAGTTCTCGGCAGCTGATCCAAACCGGGGTCCAGTGTGGATGGACGAAATCCAAGCAACCCTGGAATGATGACTCCCCTGCAAATACCAACAAATACTGGATTCCCATGGTTTCAAGTTGGTGCGGGCATCAGTTTCATAGATCCACAAAAGCTATGTCTGAGGGTGGTCCCAATGAACAATCAAACTGCCACATGACATGCGGGATTTTAATATCCACCAGCCATTTGTATGCCTGTTTGTTTCAGACCCTTTTGCTGCTTGGCTTCAAGAGAAGCCAGAGAAAAGCCATCATTTGTTGGATCCCCATAGTCTGCCACAGATCCATTTGTTGCACCCGGGGCTCGTTGCAATGGCGTGGCGATGAGGCGTCTGACCTCGGCAAGGTGACCTGGGCACCTAGGACCGCCTCCTGCACGCCCACCGCGATGATGTCGAAGATGCCCTCAGGGAAGGGCGTGGTTTGAAACATCAGGTGGGCCAATTCAAATTTCCCAGCTAAAACAAGCCCAATCAAACCAAGGAAGATCAAGGGCATGAGTCCTAGACTCTCCCAGGCTAGTGGCCATGAGAACATACGGGCACCTTCCTTCTGGCGAGCCCTCCCCCACCCCCACAAACCAAATTAATTCGCTTCGAGCAACCCCCACCCTCCACACTCACGAGCTTACGACCGTTACAACAAATCTAGAGACTTCGACTCCAAATTCCCATCGGCCCCTTCCCTTCCCATCGGCCACTTCCACTTGTCTGTGAGCCGATCTCGAGAACTCAAACATCGGTTCCGTTAACAAAAGCCAAGCCCCTTCCAAAAAGAAACCCGACAGGGGATTAAACAAAGTTGCTTATTCACAACCCAAAGCAATACAACAGCATCACCCTTTCCGAGCCTCAGGGTGCACTCAAAACACGAAGGCACCAACATGAAATGTACACCCAAATGTGCGCCGAGCGAAACATTAAGCAAAACCGGACTGGCAAGCTGCTCTGGCGGGATACTGGCGGGATCCACTGGCGAATACTGGCATACTCGGCGGGATCCACTGGCGAGCTACTCTGGGATACTCAGCGGGATACTCGGCGGGATCCACTGGCGGACTGCTGGCGAGCTACTCTGGGATACTCAGTGGGATACTCGGCGGGATCCACTGGTGAGCCGCTCTGGCGGGATACTTGGCGAGATCCACTGGCGAGCAGCTCTGGCGGGATACTCGGCGGGATCCACTGGTGAGCTGCTCTGGCGGGATACTGGGTGGGGGCGTGGTGTAGAAGCATCGCAATCGCGGATTCCAACATAAAATCTAACAACCCCTTCCTGTCGGGTGGGGAAAAACCAAAAAACAACCCAAGAAATATAAAAAGGCGAGCCCTCCCCCACCCCCAAACCCCCAAAAAAAAACAAATACAAAAAGATCAAAGGAGAAGTTTCCACCAAACCGCTGGGCTTTCTTCAGCCCCCGAGGTGCCTCCCCCGACTTCAGGCGCCCCTTGCGGGGGATCCAGGCGTCGCTCTGCAGCTTGATCTCCGCATCCCCGGCGTTCATCGAGGCCACCAGCAGCCACAGAGGCCGCCCCAGCGCTTCCTCGCGAGCCGGGGACTTCTGGCCGTCTTGGGCTCAGAAGGCCGACCAAATTCCTAGAATGGTGGGGGGGTGCCGGGGGGGGGGGAAGTCGTTTTGGCTTCTCAGCAAAAAAGTAAGAGCCCTTAAAAAGCGTACCAGCTCGGAAAACCTACCCTTTTCACTTCCCCTTTCTGTAATAGAAAGTAAGTGGGCCCAGCCCTTAAAAAGGCCAGAAAGCCTCTGCCTGGGCTATCACAAGGTTACAAAGCCCCTCTCAAAGTTACACCTTGCCAGCGCACATTGTCATATCCGTCAGCCTCCAAGCTGAAACAGAAGCACGTCGCTGGGCCACTACATAGCCGGAGGCTGATGCATGCTGATGCCAGGCCCTCTCACAACTCACTAGCAACAAGGCACTAGTTTGTGGCTTACTTTTTTCGGAGGGGTCCTGTGCGTTCTCTGAAGCAAAGGGGAAGGCTTAGCGTTCACATCATTATCTGCACGGAGCTTCACCCGTCCTTGCGGCCCTTGATGTGCAAGGAAACATTTCCTGAGCACCGCCGTCCGGTTTCGACACATGCCGCATGCCACTCGGAGGCAGCAGGAAGCTTAGCAGCCAAGAAATCCTGAAATCACAAGCATGACAGTTGGTGGAGTTCGAACTGCAGTTTGGCCTAGCCGCCGACAAAACCGCGAACAACACACTCACACTCGTACAAACAAATGTAACGTACATACATGTGCACATAAATATGTGTGTATATATATATATATGTATACGCATACACACGCACAAATATGCCTCGCTGAAAGACATGGATGCCCCTTCATATGTATGTGTATTATAAATATTCATACATACATTTACACATTTATACATATACCAAAGACATATCCTCCGCGACGGGCACAAGCACAACCAGTACGCAGTCCGGCCTCGTAATGGGTGAAACAACTCTCCATTCTAGAACAGTGGCCCGTTTTGCGGATTCCACGTGTTCTTCCCCCCTGCTGGTCCTTTGTAGCCTGATCCTTCCAGACTGTCAAACAGCTCCCGAAGCCCACCCAAATTCAAGGAAATGTCCCACAAAGGTTCCGATGCTAGTGGGAGATTCCTGTACAATTGAACTGCTTCTTGGGTCCCTTCCGTCAATGTTCATGCGAGAAAGGGGGGCGCTAGAAAGCAACAAAAGACTGGGCAGGAGGGGCCACGCTAACTCCACCCCTTTCTTTTCCATAACTCCATCCCTTGCTTCTTCACAGTTCGGACGACAAAGCCGCTAAAGCGCAAAACTAAGCTACACCAACCATCCCCAGCAAGGTTCCATCCTTCTCCAGGAATTCGGCATCATCGTCCACGCGCTGGCAGTTGGTGCAGCCATCCAGCACTACCTCCAGCCCTTCTTCGAAGGCTGGGCACCCGCAGTGCACCGACCCCATCGAACAAATGGGGTCAGGCGACGGAGGTCCTTTCCTACCAACCCTCGGGATCAGAGTGCCAGCTGTTTTGAGTGTTTAGGGTGTGTGTGTGTGAGGGGTACGGCGGAACTGGATCATCTGGGCTCTACATATATCACCACAAAAGGGACACTCACTTGAAACTGGCAACTTTCTGAACGCCACCCTATTTATAACCCTGGGAACCCTGGCGACGCAAACAAGGAGTTTCAAGTCAAAGCCTCAGGCAGCCTTCCCGTGAGGAGTAAACAATGTGTCTCTCGGAGCTGCGTGTTTGGCACAGGCCAAGCACTTGTGCCGGACAAGCATGCTTCTCTGTTGCATTCTGGGCGGCGCTCACTTTGCCAAGCTGAAGCCAAAAATGCGACACCCGCGGATTCGGCGCTTGAGGCCAAAGAGTCACCTCGGCGCCTTCGGCTTGGGAGCTGTGGCAAGAGGACCCTGCGAAAATGGCACTGACAAACATGGGCAAACGATGGTGACCTCAAAGTCACGGCACCCCCAAACCCCGCTTGGTAATAGAGTGACTGATAAAGTCACAGCCAAGTCAACTCCCGTACGATTTGCCTTGAAGTTGTGTCACGAGGGGTTGCTGCAAACCCCGTGCTTGGCAGGCTTGTAGTGTTCCACACCATGGCGAACATTGAGCGTGTATCCCACATTCTGGAAGAAAGGTGACTGTCCGAAAAAGGCGATGTCTCTGAAATGACGTGAAATGATGGAGTAGCTCATCAACATGGGTTACAACGATTGGACCATGTAGAGGCCTCTTGAATCCTGTGATTTCCTTCAGCTGGTCATCATTCATTGCATCCTCCAAGTTGGCCTTTCGATCTGAACCCAGTTCCTCCACCACCTGTGCATGTGCAACTGAACCTGGAAGCTCACCAGGAAGCCAAACCTTCGGGGCTCGGGACAGAATGCCCCGCTTTGAGTGAAGGCCCAGCTTTCCGTGCAACGTCCGGCTCTTGAGTGCGCTCCCACGTCGAGGTCAGCTGTTAAACGGATGGGGCCGTCATGTTCAAACCCAAGGGGTGGCCAACATGGCTGCTTAGATGTCCCTTTCAAACATCACCCTGCCAAAAGGAGCTCGTAAAAGCCGATGCTTACATCATCCAGCAAGGGGGAGGAAAAAAAGAAATGGCCCAGTCTCACACCTCGGGTGCCGGGCCAAAAGCATCGCACAGCCCATAAAGATGCCAAACTCCCGCAGCGGCACCAAGGTGGAGGTGATGAGGAGAAAGTAGCCTTAGGCCCGCAACGGCTGCTGGTTATAAAAACAAACAAATACATATGTCCGCACGCATAGTAACAGTTAGTTCAACTTGGGACATCTCTGTTGTCCTCAAACGCTGCCATTCGAGCGTCGGGATTTTTGTTGGCATTCAAGAACGCACCGCACAAGGCGCTGCATTGAACTCCTGCCTTCGGAGAGCTCGCTTGTGGGGCAGACAGAAAACGCCCTTTCGCCCAGCCGCCCATGGGCCGCGTCCCTCTTGACCCTTAGACGAGTGAGCCCACCAGAAACTTGAGAAACCATGTGCAACGGAACGTCCTCTTGAAAGACCTTATGTAAGCCTTCTATGCCAAAGAGGTCGCGATTTAGACTCATTGGAGAATGATCTACTTGTTGCGGGTCGCCCACCGTTGATGAACATCGGGTCCAACTTGGAATCTTTTGGGTGAAAGTAGATGGCACAATGCCCCCCAGCTTGGCTTCCACTTTACTTCCGCACGCAAGCGGAGTTCTGCCATATTCTTCTGCAGAAGGGCCTCCTGTGTAATGTTAACCCCGGATTAATAAACCCCTGGCTGATTAACAGGGCGGTGTCCCCTTTTAGTGGGGATTCAGACCACTTTTGGAGGGAACACCCCTAAAAAAAACGGGATGGGTTTATTAATCTTTGGTCAACGTTATCCCGGTACTCTCCAGCAGCCCAAAAAATGGGCACCCCAGCAGGCGGCAGTGCACACCACAGGCAGCATCTCTCGCCCAGCCGCCTGGAGTTAATCGCTTCGATCGCTTCGAACCACCTGACCTGCCACCCCAACCAATCGAACCTTTGAAAGGTCCGGACGTGGCAAAGGGAACTTGATATTTTTTTAGGTGATTTCTTCTCCCCCCCCCCCCCTCTGTTAGGGCCGGACATTGGATGAGCTCGCTATTTTCAGGTGAGCTCGTTCTTTGCCCGGAGTGACGACCCCGGATTCCTTCTTGGGGGTCAGCTCCTGTGAATCAATCAGCAGACTGGAACGCCTTAGGCGGCCCTAGGTATGGTATTTACTTTCGGCTCCGGGCCTCGTAACCTCTGACCAAGACCAGGGAGTTTTCCGTGGTTCGGGTTGCAACTTGCAGACTACGTGCGCTGTCGAGTGCATTGCATCACTGCCGTTGCCATGACATGTCGAGTCTAGCAGGAAATGTCAACCTCAACTTCAGCTTCGAAGCTCAACCATCCACCATGCCGAATTAATTACAAAGGGAAGATGTTGCAACCGCTTAGCTTCTTAGGCAAAACAGTCCAATCAAATCACCCGGACATCTTTCCACCCGCAAACCTCAAGACCCTTCCTGGGTGGGTTGAGGGGGGGGGGTCTGATTTTGTCTTGCTGCTCTGCAGGTGAGGCCAGGACCATGTGCAAGTACAGCAGCCGCTCCCAATGCTCTTCGGCCTCACGGCCTCGATTCCGAACGCCGCTCGCCGCCCAGCAACTTGATTGCCGCGCAATCCTGCCTACACAATCCCAACGAAGCGCTATTACCCTGGTAAAAGAGGGCACTCTTTTTCGGGTTGACCAATTTGTGGGGAAGCAAGCAAGAAGGAAACCAGGGTGGAATCCACTGAGCAACTGGGTTCTTGGTCTCCGCACGGGACCGGCGCCAAAGCTCCTGGCTCGAATTCTTGGAGGCGAGCGGAATGGCTCGATCTGTGACAAGTTGAAGCTCAAAAGATCGAGAGGCTCAAACTTCAACAATTGTGTGTTTTAACTTGCGGCCTGGAAACAAGGAGGCAAACGATCCGCCCTCTCCAGGCAAAGTCGCGGGGCGATTTCTGCACCATGCTTCAACACGCGCAGAAGCGCCTAACCAGCGGTGGCGGAATTTCCGGGCACAAGATGATGGTCCTTTGCAACTTAGACATCAGCCAGCATGGTGGCGCTCCCCCCCCCCGCAACTCGAAAAACATGAAGACAGGATCCTGTGAGAGACTGCACATCCACCGTGCTGACTTGTCGTGAGGCCACACGCTTCTCAACGAAGCCACTGAAGGATGCAACCCAAGGACCTGGAACGTGGCCACCTTTCGCAAAAGCTGGCGCTGAAATACTGACGCCAAGCAAAGGTACGTCACAAGACCAAATTGGGTGCGACTTAGATTATAGGCCAACCCAGGGTCACCGCAATGGGAGGGCTCCTAACATCTGGGAAAGATTTGGGGTATTTCAACTTCATTCTCAGCCCGCAGCGTGTCCTGGATGCGGAAGAAGCTGGTGAAGCCGAGGCCAAAGACCAAAAAGACCCCCAGAAAGCTCGCTAGGCTTACCTGCACATGGGAAGCTACGAGCGACAGGGCCGTGCCATACACTGCAAAACAATCCAAAACTGCATAAACCCTATGTACTGTTTCATATTGCTGATAATATCTTCCCCCTATTAATAAATACGCCCCCCCTATTATAAATAAATCACCCCGAAAATATGTTGTTCAACAAAAAAAATGGTTTTTGGGGTTGGGTGTTTGTTGCTTTTCCAACAATGTGAGGGTTCACATAGGATTTGGAGGAAATGGATTGAATTGTAAGGTCCGCGAGTAAGCGGTTTAATAAGGACATTGTATGTATCATTCTATTTGTTTTTCAGTTTACTGGTTGTTTGTTTGCAGCCAGGCAGGTTAATTAGCCAGCATGCGCCTGAAATTGGCACCCAATCTGCTGAACTCGAGAAAGGGGCTGAGAGGGGGGACCGACAGCTGGTACGAGAGCCGCTTTCAAAAGAGAGCCGACGCTGCCTCTTTTGGTAGCTTGCTTCAACACGACTTGTCTTCTTATTGCACGTATTGTCCGTGACCCTCTCGCACCCCCACCTTTTCGAAGCTTGCGAACTGACAACTAGCCGGACAGGGGTCGAACCCTCCCGTGCCTTAAATTTGCAACATCTACCCAAGACGAGTCGACGAGTCTAACAACACAGATTCGAGTAAGCGACAATATTACCAGAAGAAACCAACCGGGGACACCCAAAACCGATATTGTGGCATATTGTCCGTTGTTCATATATGTGGCTCCGGCCATGTGCCAGGCAAAAGTCGACAAACAAGTCCCTTCAAACGCGGTCAGTAGAAATCTGTGACCCCGGCCTTTTCCACTGGCAGGATCACATAAGCCACCAAAGAGGTAAGACCTTGGCCAATGCGATTTGACAACCGCTCGAAGAGCTGGATGTCCATGGATGTCCCTCAAAATGCGGAAGCCCCAAAAAGTGGATGCTTTGCTTTTGGTTTCCCTGCATGATCCCAACAGGTTCTCCTATGAGACATGCCCAGCTCGTCACCTGAGTCATAATCAAAACTCGGTCTTAAAATGCTCTACCCAGAACCATGTAAAGAATTAAGAAGGCGGCCGCAGCTAATTATGGTTGGGATTGTCCCTTACTAACCTTCATCTACCTGAGTTTTCGGGTTTTGATGCTGGCTCACCTTGTCCCCGCCTGGCCAGCCGTCTTCTCCCCAAAGCCACAAGGGTTTGCCTCCTCCCGGCCCCGCCCCAGATTGAGGGCGTCTTCGCGGCTGCTGACCCCAAATGGCCAAAAGCTAAATCGTACCCCCAGTGAACATCCCAATCCAACCACTAAAATGGGTGGTGCACCTACCACAGCCAAATATGATCAACTTGCGGATTTAGAAAAGTGAGAGGGAGCGTTCCCCCTGCATGGATTACCCCCAAATAATCAATTGGGTTCCGAGGGGGCTCAATGTCCAACG